TTTTTCCGGAGGATCGGGGCCAGTGTAGACGCTCTTTTCCGGCTTTTCTAAAAGCCGGAAAAAAAGCGGCGGACATTTTTATTTAAATGCCGCGGGGGATATTTAAATCCCCCGCGGATTTCCCTATTACGACCTGTAAAATTAGCATGCCCCTTTCGGAAAAGGGGCCAGTGTAGACGTAGCCATGGATTGAACTACCATCTTTTCCTTTAATGTATACCCTTCCAAAACATAAGAGTATGGGGAAGCTTCCCCAGTTGGTACCCTGTTCAACGAGTAGAAGACTTCAGGCTCATCAGTTATTAATTAAGCACTTCCAAATTGCCCACCAATCTATAAACATTCTTTGTCCTGCAAGAGAAATAGTTCTACCGTAATAGAATGGCCCTATCTTCTGGAGAGAATACACCACTTGGAGTTGGGGTGGCCAACCCGAGGCTCACGAGCCACATGCGGCTCGCCAAGAAAAAAATTGCAGCTCCTGATGGAACCGGAACCACTCAGGTCAGCCGCTCTCACGGCCAGGCTGCTGTAAGCCACATGTGTGCTCACAGCCCACACCATTCCGCTCACGGTTCCCAGCGCACTACATCGTATACTGCACATGCAGGCTAGGTCACATACAACATCCCAGCTTGCATGTGCTAGCAGCTGGCTGCTGGGTGCAGGCAGCGGCTTTGGGATCTGGGCATAAGGTTGGGGGGGAGATGCCTGACTCTGAGGCTAGATCTAGACTGCAAGGTTTTTACGGAAAAAGCTACACTACAAAGTAACACATGATTCCATGTGAATAATATCTCCCCTATCTCTTCCCAGTTTAAAGAGTCTGCTTTGAGGAAACAATCCTTGTATTTGAAGTTTGACCCTCTGTTGAGAGACAGCCCCAAAAAGCTGGCTCCTGGTACTACTGAAACAATAAGCACATGTGTAATTAATGCACCATTTCAAAGTGGGTAGGTATTGATTATCTAAATTCTAAGACACAAACTTGGTTTTGAACACTTTATCTCTAATTTTAACTGTGGTTTTTAGTCCTCTTTCTGACTTAGGTATAGTATCTTTGGAAACCCCAAAACCTGCAGTGAAATCCCTTCAAAATGAAGAAAAGCCTAAAGGACTGGATCTTCTGGGAACTTTCTCAGCTCCAGTAAGTGAACCATAAACATGTCAATTTTCATGTTAGTGGAATTTTGAATGTGTTCCTCTAGTGGAAAGTTAGACAGCTTTTATCATCGTATTGCCTGCTTAGTGTTCAGAGACTGCTGTGGGTTAGAGTGTTGGTGTTACAATTGCCAATACTCTTAAACAAGGCATATGCCTTCACTCTGTATTGGTGACAAGGAGTACTGTGGCACCTTATAGACTAACAAATTTATTGGAGCATAAGCTTTTGTGGGCAAAGACCCACTTCGTCAGATGCTTAGTTTGCTGGGAGGTGTGCATGTCTGTGGAGGGAAATGATAATGGTAGCCATTCAAACTTTTTTTTTCTCCTCCACAAAGGATACAGTTCCGTTGATTCCAGATATCTCAACCAGTAATGCTTCACCACTTTCTCCTTTTGCTGTGCCACTCAACGGTGCAGTTGATGCCATTATAGAAGTGCTGAAATACAGCCAAAAAGATATGGATGCAGCTATTGAAACAGTTAAACTAGAGGTAAGAAGAAAGCCTTTATGAATGTGGCATTTATTTTGGAAAGGCTTGTCATTATAACCTGCAAACTTACTCCTCTAAGTTACTCAGCACGTACTAGGCATCTCTTTCAACACTTGCTATTAGGGATGTTAGATATTGTGTAGTTGAATATTCATGTAACTGCATGAAATCTTAGCGGTTACACAACTATTCAATAATCCCTGGGGGCAGGGCCAGCAGCCAGTGCATTCCCAGTCCTACTCCTGGGGAGCTCCCTGCCTCTGTATCTGCTCCCTGTATCTGGCAGCAGTGTGGGGTAGCAGGCAGGACCCACTCTGTGAGGGGAGTCAGTTTAAAAACCAGCTCCCTGTGCAGACTTGCTGCCCTGCGCTTACTCTTAAGCCCCTGTCCACAGGGAGCTCAGACCTGCCATGGATACCCCAGAGACCCAAAGCTGCCGTGGACAGAAGCTGCTTCGTGGCAGCCTCCCCTACCTACTATCCCGGCTGCCATTTCAGGCAGGTGGCACTGCAGAGCTGGTGTTGGGGGAGCTGATTCCTGCCTCCCCCACCTCTCTGACTCTGTAGGAGGCAGCAAAGGGATGGGGGCGTCTGAAGAACTAGCGTGCGTTGGGAGCCTTCTTGAAAGCTGACTCCCCGCACACGTTGTCTCCCATAATATTAATGCAACCACTGCTCTCCATGCTACAAATGGTGCTTGTCACAAAGTGGAATTCAGTGCTAATTTATGAACCATGAAGCCATCCTTAAATTGCTGTAGCTCTTAAAATATTGAATAACTTGTTGAATTTACTCTGGGATGGGGGAGAGTAGCTGTTAGGATTACTTGTTTTTAAAGTTACAGACTGTGGCACCTTAAACTAAAAATATATAGTATCATGAATAAAACTCACTACATGAAAGCCCATCAGATGAACACTGAATACATCTGATGAAGTGGGTTTTGCCCACGAAAGCTCAGATATATATTTTTGTTAGTCTCTAAGGGTATGCCTACATTACCCTCCTATTTCGAAATAGGAGGGGAATGTAGGCATACCGCAATTGCAAATGAAGCCCAGGATTTGAATTTCCCGGGCTTCATTTGCAATTGCGGTATGCCTACATTCCCCTCCTATTTCGAAATAGGAGGGGAATGTAGGCATACCGCAATTGCAAATGAAGCCCAGGATTTGAATTTCCCGGGCTTCATTTGCAATTGCGGTATGCCTACATTCCCCTCCTATTTCGAAATAGGAGGGGAATGTAGGCATACCGCAATTGCAAATGAAGCCCAGGATTTGAATTTCCCGGGCTTCATTTGCAATTGCGGTATGCCTACATTCCCCTCCTATTTCGAAATAGGAGGGTAGTGTAGACATACCCTAAGGTGCCACAGGAATGCTTATTGTAGAATTTAGCTAAATGTCCGACTTAAAAGGGATACTATGTCAAAGTGCTTATTTCTTACATATCTTTTGTCCCAAGTGTTCTACACTCAGAGGTTGTCTGAATAAGTAGTAGTGGAAATGTGCTTTGTAGATGGATAGCTTTTGTAAAGAGAAGTTTCAGATTTAATTGTTGCTTTTCCTTGTTATAGAATTTCTTCAGCAAAGATTTTTAAATGGGCAAGTCCCATTGAGAACAATAGGGCTAGAAGTACAGAATGTTCTTAGTAAAATGGCCAGTATATACAGTCGATGTTTTCCCTTCTTCCTGATAGCATGGAATGCATAATCTTTATAAGGCAGTTTGTTACTCCAGTGAGTGACTCCAATAGGAAACAGAGGCTATATTTGCTAAGCAATATTTATGACCAGAACCAGGCAAAAGTTTTATCTTTACAAACCAGTTTCTTCTAATCTAGAGCCACTAAAACTAATATAACATCATGGTTATTTCATGGCTTCACTACCATACGGGGGGACCCTTTGCTGTGTGTGTCATAATTTAAAAACAAGCCAAATATTATAATTGAAGACTATGAATTTCCTGAGATTATAATACTTACTACTAGGATAGTTCTACATAGCTAATGAGTAAAACTGTAACTTCATCTTAATGTAACTTGTATGAACACAAGGAAAGATTCAACCTGCAAACTGGCATTGACCTAAAAAGATTAAAATAATTGGCTACATGTTGTGGGTCAGTAGTGTAAAACCTCTAACAATGAAGGGAGTAGGTTGCCAATATCACCAATTAAGGGAAATCTAGTTGGAAAAAACAAGTGTGTGATCAATGTATGTATAAATAGTAAACTTAGTTTTGCTGTGTTTTGCAACAAATACCATACTATCTCTGTACACTCAGCACTTGGAAGGATCACTGGTAATCTGTTTTAAAAGCAATTTGTGTGTGGGGAGGAAGAGGAGGGTTATTTTAGAAGTGCCGAGTATTACAAAGAACATAAGACTGGGTAATTATTGTGTTTAACTACTCTACTAGTCTCACTCTAATTTGTACTAGAGCTTTCTTCTATAACTGACACTTATAAAATCGTGTCCATAGGGAAAATTTTATCTTCTATCAAAACCTCTTTATACTAGGGATGTTAACATGTAGTCGACTATGATTAACTGATAAGCCTAAGCTTATTGGTTAAAGAGCCAGTGCTGCCTGCCCCCATGCTCACTTCTCTATGCTGCTGCCTCTATGAAGTTGCTCTGCCTCCGAGGGAGCAGCCTCTGTTCAAAGTGGGCCTAGGTTCGCTGTGGATAAAGGATGGTCCTTGGCAGCAGCCCCTGTCTGCAGGGTTTCCCAGCTCCCTGAGAACAGAGGCTGCTTTGCTGCAGCCTCTTCTCTTCATCAGAGGCAGCAGCACAGGGTGGGAGTGGGGCTGGAGTATATTGGCTGCCAGCCCCACTCCTAGTGCTATAGAATAGTCATATAACTGCTAAGATTTGATGCGGTTAGATGACTATATTCAGTTACCCAATATCTAATATCCCTACTGTAAACTAACATTCTGAACAACTTGAACAATATCTTATTTCAGTTCCTGTTAACTAAACTGTGAACTTTTTTTTAGGTTCAACAAAAGCAGATGGAAGTTCTGGAATGGAAAAAGAAATATGAGCGACTTTATATGGAGTACCAAGAAATGGGGTATGTACCTGTCAATTATACAGCTTGACTTACTGCTTTTAATTGCTTTCTCTAATGTATATTCAATATTGATTTTTGTTTTTGTTTTTTTAGAAAAATTGTTGCAGAGTTTGAAGGAACAATAACCCAAATGATGGGTGAGTGTATTGGATATTGAACTCGAGATGGGTTTTTTACTTAGACCTGAAGGGCATACTAAATATAGTTGGCTTTGAAACACACAGTCTAGTACTCTTCTGGTTAGTACTTTAGTCGTCTTTTCAATACTCTGTTATATGTTCTATTTTACTGAATCCTTGGAAAGGCAATCAGAGCTTGTCTGATAATGCTAGCAAAGTCAATATGTTTAGGAACAGATCTCTAACGCAGTGTGTGCACAGCTATATGCATCTTAATTACACAACTATAGTACTTCATGTCTGTTTGACTTGTATAGACACGTGTACGTAGCAAAGTGGGTGTCTGACTTATACCTAACTGAAGCATGCACAGTAATGGCCACAATATAGCCCATAGCTCTGCAATTGTGGCTGGTACATTGAAAGCTACAGGTTCCACTTGCTTACTAAGCAAAGTCCATAGTTTGATACTGCAGAAGAGGAACAGACTGTTGTTCTCGTTTAGATCACATACAACCATATCACTTCTGACCAAATGTCAGTGGAACCATCTGGTGGACAGTGGTGGTTTCTGCTATAGTCTCTATATGAGTTCTAACTGCAGAGGAATAGCTTAACTCATGTCAGCTGAAAGTTTATATCTTGAGTCATAAGAATATGAGAATGGTATGACCCCGTATGTCCAACGGTCCATCTAACCCAATTTCCTGTCTTCGGGTGGTGACCAGTGCTTTAGAAGGAACAGAACAGGGCAATCAAGTGATCCAGACGCTGTTCCCAGGCCTGACTGACAGACACTAAGAGTATGGTTGCATTCCTAACCATCTATTGGTGTACCTATCTGCCACAAAATTACTTTTTAAATCCGGTTATAGTTTTGGCTTCCACAACATCCCCTGGCAACATGGGCCACAGGCTGACTCCACATTGTGTGAAGTATTTGTTCATATTGGACTTAAACCTGCTGTCTATTTTATGGGGTGACCTCTAGTTCTTGTGTTATGTGAAGTGGTAAATAACATTTCCTTACTCACTTTCTCCACTCCGTTCATGATTTTCATAGACCTTTATTGTACTGTCTCCTCCTTGCTCCAAGTCAACTCTTTTTCTAAAATGAATAGTCCCAGGGCTTGCTTTTTTTTAATCTCTTTAATATAGAATCTGTTTCATACCTCTAATAATTTTTGTTGCCCCTTTCCATTTCTAATATATGTTTTGAGATGGGACTGCCAGAATTGAAAGCAGTGTTCATGGTGTAGGAATACCATTGATTTACATAATAGCATTAGAGAATTTTGTCTTATTTCTTAATGGTTCATAACAGTAGTGCCCTTTTTGACTGCCTCTTAGCATTCAGCAGATGTTTTCAGAGTATAATCTAGAACAATCCCTATATTTTTCTAGAGTTGTAATGGCCAATTTAGACCCCATAATTTTTGTCTGTATAGTTGGGATTATATTTTCCAATGTGTAATACGTTGCATTTGTCAACTTGGAATTTCATATGCTGCTTTGTTTTCCATTCATCCAATATTAAGAGAACTCTTTGAAAAGTTAGTTAGCTTTGGCTGTAACTATCATGAGTAATTTGTACCCTCTGTAAATGTTACTTCTCCCCTTTTTTCCAGATCGTTTATGAATATGTTGAACGGTGCTGATCTTAGGGTAGATTTTTGAAGGACATTGCTATTTACCTCTCTCCATTCTGAAAACTGACCATTTATTCCCACCCTCTTGTTTTCTGCCTCTTAATGGTTTACCCATAAGAGGACCTCCCCTCTTATCTCAGGCCCTCTTCCTTTGTTTTAAGAAACATTTAGCAAGAGATGTCAAAGACTTTTTGAAAGTCCAAGTACACTATCTCAACTGGATTACTCTTGTCAGCACGCTTGTTGACCCTCCCTCAAACCCTGAATTCAAATAGATTGGCAAGACATGATTTCCCTTTCCCAAGAGACATCTTGCCTCTTCCCCCACAAATCATGGTAATCTGTGTTGGATATTTCTGTCTTTTTTATTGTAGTTCAACCAATTTGCTTGGGACTGAAAAGTGAGGCTTATGAGTCTGCAATTCTGAGGATTATCTCTGGAGTCTTTTAAAAAAAATTCATGTCATGTTAGCTATCCTCCAGTCATCTGGTACAGAAGTGCCAGGTTACACACCACAGTTCTTCAATTTCATGAGAGTTCCTTCAAAACTGAGCCTGCTGACAGAGAACTGCTGGGTTTTTTATCAGATTTTTTCCCAAACTGCTTCTATTGACTCTTCAATCTGAGTTCCTCAGATTTATCCCTTGAGAAGAATGACTCAAGTGTGGAACTCTCCCTTGTATCCTCTGCAGTGAAGACTGCTGCAAAGAATTAATTTAGCTTTTCCAGAATGGTATTATTTTCCCTGAATGCTCCTTTAGCACCTCAAACATGCAGTGATCTTACTATTGTTTGGTAGTCTTCCTGCTTCTGAGTTACTTAACTTTATAGATGTAATTTATGTTGTGCTTTTCTGTCCGATGTTGATGGATGTTCAGCTGCATGTGTGTTCTCCCTTTGTGTTTCCCAGCTCTGTGCAGGTAGCTGATACAGCAGACCTCGTGCAAATTGCCTAAAAAGGCCGCAATACATGGTTTAGTAGTGAAGGTGCCCAACCAGGTTTATTGTTTTCTGTTGCTCTTTTTAGCTTGCTTAAATATACTTGCTGTGCCAGAGTTTATGCTCCTTTCTGTCTTACTTGGAAGTCAAATCCTATTGAGTATGCCTCTTCTGTCTCTAACAGCTGCTTTTACTGTGTTTTTAGCCATGGTGTTTTTTCTTTCCTATTACCATTTTTAATTTGGGGGATACTCTGTCATTTTAAGAGAAGATATGCAAAATCTATATAATTTGGCTTAAATCCCTAATTAAGGATGACTTGTGTTTACAAGACTGACAGTTCTACAATGTCCTTTGGTCTTTTAAAGCAGTGGTCCCCAACCTGTGGAGGTTGGGTGTTTTTAGCCATGGTGTTTTTTCTTTCCTATTACCATTTTTAATTTGGGGGATACTCTGTCATTTTAAGAGAAGATATGCAAAATCTATATAATTTGGCTTAAATCCCTAATTAAGGATGACTTGTGTTTACAAGACTGACAGTTCTACAATGTCCTTTGGTCTTTTAAAGCAGTGGTCCCCAACCTGTGGAGGTTGGGGGATGGTGGAAACAATGAGAGGCTCTCAGGACACTAGTACAGGCAACCCTGAACTGGAAAGAGATTTACCGTTAGGTAACGTCCTGTCAATCCTATTAAAACAAAGATGCTCACTATAAGTCCACTATATGTTCCAAAAAATTTGGACTTATAGCAAAACAATTTAAAGTGGGGAATTTTTTTCCCCACGTCTGCCTTCTATTTGTGCAAACTGGGGGGTTTTTTTTGGTGCGACTTATGAGTGGGGAATGGAAGGTCTTATAACACATCAGTTCCTACAAGTGTCAATGACTTTAGTGTGGAACGGATGTATACCGGGGCAACTTTTAGTTGGGACACCCTGTAATGGTTTATATTTACATAGGGCCTTTAATCCAGAAAGATCCTAAAGCACTTTACAGATTCTTTGTAGAAATTGGTTCATCAACGAATACATGCAAATTGATAGCAGATTAACATTGGAACTGCAGCACTAGGAGAGTGTAGAAGAGAAAGTAAAGATGGCTACAATTAAAGGAATTATTTATATGGGAAGAGAAGTTCTATGCCAGTGGTCCCCAACCTTTCGAGGTTGTCGGGCGCCGGGGGTGTGGCCGTTCGCCCGCCGGGCGCCAGGGGGTGGGGACACTTGAGTGCCCGGGGGGGCCCCCTCATAGCCGCATGCCCGGGGGCAGGGCCTCCCCATAGCCACGCGCCCGGGGCCGGGGCCGCCTCCAAGCGCCGCGCGCCCAGAGCGCGGGCGGCCAATTCGCAGCGCTCCCCGGGGCAGGCGCTCACTGTGCACCATGCGCCCGGGGCCAGCTGCGGCACCATGCATGCGCTACGTGCCCAGGGCCAGGCCAGCCCTGAGCACTTGGCAGGCGCACACGAATGCCCCCGTGGGCGCCATGGCGCCCACGGGCACCGTGTTGGGGACCACAGTTTTAAAGAGAATTCTGAAGGAAATGTAATATCTGCACCATAGACCATGAGAAGTAAAATTTAGTAAGGAAAGTCTCATGCTACATAATGTCTGGTCTTGTGACGTTAGTAACTGGGACGAGGAGGTGCTTTGCTTTCAAAACACCCAGCCCTCTTGTATTTTTCATTTTTAGAAGATGCACAGAACCAGAAGGAGCTTTCAAAAAAGGAAAACCAGAAGATTCTGGAGGAGAAACAGCAAGTTCTGTCAGATTTGAACTCCATGGAAAAATCTTTCTCTGAACTCTTCAAACGATTTGAAAAACAGAAAGAGGCTTTAGAAGGCTATCGCAAGGTAAGATGATGGAATGAGACTGGTACAGTCCTTCCAAATCACAAACAAGACAAAATCCACTAAAAGTACTCTGCATTTCCCTCGTTGAGAATTGTATAGTAATTTAACTAGCTCAATTTCCTGTCCTTTTCTATCACTGACAATTGAATGAATGACAGTGAGGAGGAGGTTAGATATGTATCCAAAAACAGACTGTCTCTGGATTATATATAGGTTCCAAGGCCACATAAGATCATTGTGATCACCTAATCTGACCTCTGGTGTAACATGGACCAAGTACATTTGTATGGGAATTATCTGCTTTGGGTTCAGGAGAAGTCTGCCTATTGTGCTAGCTTTTGAAGACCCTAACTTATATCACGCCTCCCTTGTGCCAGAATTGAATGAACAAAGGAGGACCATGCCTTTGCTTTAAAGAGTTTCACTCAATAATAACTTGTTCTAATTTTTTTTTAAAGGCAAACAAATAGATTGAGGGGTAAATGAGAGGAATGACAAAGATAACATGTGCACTGTCCAATCTATGGTGCTAGTGTGACTGGTTTGATTCACTTACCTCCATATATAAAAAAGGAGGTGCTGATGGCACTCCATGGTTATGGTTTGCATTACAGTTTTTGTGGGGGTAGAGTTCATGTATACTGCTCTTCCGTATTTCTACTTTTTAAATGGCTTTGCCTGCCTCCTTTAATTGAGGTTCAAAGTCACAGTTGTCTCATGGTCAAGTTCTAGGGCAGTGAGTCTTCCTCTTTTTAATAGCAGTCTCTGCTATGCTTCTCAAGCACATGGGTCACCTGAGGCCTGATGGTGCATGCTGATCCCTTTTCTAAAATTCAGGGCTGGGGTGTCAGGAGGGTTGGGAGGAGGAAAAGATCAGTAAATCTCCCCTAGCTCACTAAGTGGCTTCCGTTACACTGCAGTTTCATAGTTTATATTAAATACTAGGAGATTTACCCAGCATTGCCTGGGTCCTTCAGGGAAAGGAGCTGGCAATGCAGGAGTGCAATAGGCAGGGCGGGATCTTAGGGATGGAGGGACAGTGCTGGGAGCAGGGGGTGCATGAGTGAAGGTGGTAGATGAGGAGGGACTCAGAGCTGGGGGTTCCAACCGGCATGGGCCTTTGGTCTCCCCATAACTCCTCCCCCGCACCTCCGGCCACCAGAAAGCTACTTACCCCATATGCTGGCAGGCGAGATGGTGGAGCCCCAGTCCTGATGGCCACTCCCTTGGTAGTACAGCTGTCTCCATAGACACTCAGGATAGCTACCCCTTTGCTGGCTTGCTGCCCCCAGTGGTCACTTCCAGTATCACATCCCTTTGAACAGGAGCTCCTCCCTTTTCATGTTATAAAAACAGCCCCTTTCCAGGGGCTTTCTGTTATGGAACAACCAAACCCTGACCTTGCTTTAAGTTAGGAGAAGAGGAAATATCCTAGTAAATTTGGTGGTCCTAGCTCTTAACGTTTCGGAGGAGTTCTTGAACAAATGGACTCGCAGACAGACACAAACCTCTAAAATGTAGATGGTGAGAGGGAGCTATTTAATACCTGATTCAGTTGCAGCATGGTCCAAATCCTGATTTTTTTTTATTTTATTTTATTTTTTTTCCCCACACATGGATCTTCCACCTTTCCTGGAAAAGGATAGATTTAGCCTTATTGCGAGACAGAGTAGCAGCTATATTGAAGTGGCACAGAATTACACAATTTCAAGAACTTGGTGGCTGTTGGTAATGGAAGATACAAAATTAGATGAAGTTGAGGATACAAACTAGGATGAATTTCTCATTGTTAGCATTTGAAAATGAGTGAGTCTAAAATGGAGATGGAAGAGATCTCACCATTATCCTATTTGTGCTCTTGAATAGACCTTTTAAAAAAAACCTGTAGTAGAGTCTTACCTGCCCCATAGGATAAGGTTAAATGCAAACCATGTCCTTGACACTAACTGAACTCTCCTGTTACACTGGACTAGAATGAAGAGGCTCTGAAGAAATGTGCTGAGGATTATCTTGCAAGGATTAAGAAGGAAGAGCAGCGATATCAAGCATTGAAGGCACATGCTGAAGAAAAACTGCATCAGTGAGTACTCCCTACCTTCATATGTAGGGTGAAATTCTGGCCCTGCTGCACTCACTTGCAAATCTTTTTGTGACGTCAGTTGGGCCAGGATTTCACATGAGTGTCTTAAATCTCAAAACCTTTCTTAAAAATATTGTAACCACTTATAAAGTGACGTACCTATCTTGACTTTAGACCTGTGATGTCCAGCATGCTAGCCACTAGTCACATGTGGCTATTTGGCCGGTTGAGTGTGGCTAATTGGCTATAGCAGTAGCCACTATAGTAACTACTGCTTCAGAACTGGTTGGACACCGCGGCTTTAGACCATAACACATTAGCTTGATTTAAGTCAGATTTAAACATGAGCTCACTTTCATTCCAGAGCAAATGAAGAGATTGCCCAGGTACGGGGTAAAGCCAAGGCCGAGACTGTAGCACTGCAAGCTACTTTGCGTAAAGAACAAATGAAGGTACAGTCTCTGGAAAGAAGCCTTGAACAAAAGGTCAGTATCTGCTACTTGAGTGGTTTAAACTAGCATCAGAACTGGTGTTCTCATGAGTGCCACTGTGAAATAGGAGTCTTGATTTTATGTCTCAAACTTTGGTATGGCAGAACCATTTGATACAGAGAGATGGAACCAATCTACCTTTGCAGAATAATGGGTTTATTTGCATAGATGAGCCTCTGAAGTCTACATATTATTAGTCACTTCCAATACAGGATACTTGCTGGACTGTTGAAATGGTATAACTACTCTAAAATATAGATTTGGGTTAAAAGTGAACAAAATACCTTGTCCTGCGAATGAAGCTTAAATATGATTGCACTATAACAGTTCTAGATGCATTTTAGTACTAATAGAACAGACCATCATGTTCCTGTATGTAAATTTGTAGGCCACTGCCATCTAATAGACAGTATTGTTGGTGGACTTCCTTTCAATGTCCTGAATAGTTAGGTCTGAAAATCTAGTATTCTGCAAGTGCAGGGTTTCATGTTTTCATGTAAATTGCTATTGAATAGTATAATGGCACAAATGGGCTCACCAAAAACTAGTGGTGCATTGTAAGTTCATTAAATTCTCCTTCATGCAAAGCTTTTCCCCTTCTTTTTGAATGCCAGTAAAACCGTTGCTTGTTGGTAGCATCCTGCTCTTCTATTTAACCAATACTATGGGTTGAGCCTCCTTGGTCTGGCACTCTCAGGACTTGACTGGTCCTGAACAAGGGAATTTGCCACTGCTCTTCTGCCTCTTCCCCCTGAGCTGCTGCTCCTCCCCCTGCCTCTCCGAGCTCAAACACTGCAAATCGGCTATTTGCAGTGCTCCCGGGAGGTCAGGGAAGGAGTTGCTAAGCATGGGGCTCCCAGCTTTTCCCTAGGAGTGCTCCAGCCCCAGAGCACCCACAGATGATGCCTGACAAAGGAAGTCCAGATTACAGAGGTGAACATGTACAATGCTGTTGAAAGGAAAAGAGTTGCAACCAATTCTGTGATGCTGCAGAGACTGCTGGCTCTGCTGCCTGTACCCAGCTATTGTGGATGGAAGTTCCACACCCAATCTACTTCCTCCAAATTAACTTTTTAAAATTCTGCATAGTGGGCTCACCGCTTCCACTTGGTTGCCATAAGGATTAACTACCACCACAAACACTTTTAAATACTACACTTTATTTAGCATAATGAAAGCATTGAGAACCAGCATTACTCATGCTATAAACATAGTTCCATATTGAACTGCTTCTTCCATTTAGGAAGTGGAAAAACCAGGTAACAGTAATAGGAGTGTTTAAAGTATAGGTTGTATGTCCCTTGTCCAGCACCCTCGGGAGCTGACTGGTATTGAACAAGGAGATTTGCCAAATGAGGAGAGGTGTCTCAACATGGCCTGAGTTACCCCGGCTAGGACCCTAGCCAGGCCTTGCTGCTGCCTGCCCAGCCATGGCTCCACAGGCTGGAGCACCGTGGCTTCTGCAGCTGCTATTGGCCCCCCACTACCACCCAGTAGTGGGGGCCAGAACACTCTGCTACATCCCTGCCACCCCAGGGGCTCCTGGCCCCTGCCCCTCCTTCCCTACTCCTGCTTTGTGGCCTGACCTCCTTATACCTGGACTCTATGGTCCAAGAACATCCATGGTCCTGCTGGACTACAGAGCTCCAGTTAAGGGAGGTACAACCTGTAGTATCTTCTGTTTAGCTGTAAAGAGACGAGTGTGCGCAACTTACTCACAGTGAGCATCCTTAACAGCAGATACTACATTCTAAAATTTAGACCAGTGGTTCCCAGCCTTTTTGAGTATACGGACCACTTTTCAATCCATTAAAATTTCATGGATCCCCAAACGATCCATTTTTGCTAGCTCAACTAAACCCTTCCCACAACTGATTTAGATACTTCCTCAACTTTCCAGGCAGTAACATAATGTGGCTATCCCTTCAAAATCTAATTAAGATATGGTTTGTTAGGCTGCCTTGTTCCAAGTCTTTACCGCATTTACAGAATTCATGAGAATTTGCAATGGAACTCCTGTTCCATACAGCATCAAAGGTGCCGTGACTCCGGTGACTGCAAATTCATGATATCAATGTGTTTGCAGTGTTAAGTTCTTGATTCACTAATTCTTTGTCTTCTTAACAGGCAAAAGAAAATGATGAACTAACAAAAATCTGTGACGACTTGATTTTAAAGATGGAAAAAATCTAATAGTTGGACTGGACTACTTTGTACATATGTTCCCTTAGTTCATTCTATCCTTTTTTTCTTTGTTTGTTTAGTAACTTCTTAATTATGTATTTGGAAAGTAATAAATAGACTTTACTTGCACTTGTTCCTTCACAAAATGTTGGCTGTACATTTGTTATGAATGTGGAGTTGACCACTGGATTGGCAAATAGGGTTTTCCCCCCCTTCCCCTGGGTGGAAGGCCAAGGTGGCTGCCAGGTGAACTTTGATGGAGGAGGAAGAAAGATACTGGAGCCTAAGGTCCAACAGGTAATCTAGGATCAGCGGGTGCACCCCCTTCTGGAAAGCCCAACAGCAGAACTGCTTCCACTTAGCCAGATACGTGGCGCTGGTAGAGGGCTTTTTGCTACCCAGGAGCACCTCCTGAACCTGTTCAAAGCACTGGAGCTCCTTTGCCGTTAACCACGGAGCTTCCATGCTGTCAGGTGCAGCGATTGCAGGTCCGGGTGGCGGAGCCTGCCCGAGTTCTGGGATATCCGGTCCGGGACCAGTGGGAGGGATACAGGCCTCATGCAGGAGAGGCTGAGGAGGATAAGAACAGTAGCTTACATAAACAAGCAGGGTGGGGCCTATTTCCCTCGCCTGTGTCATGGGACCTCTGCATCGGGGCAAACATCCACCCGATGGCCTCCCAGAATGTCCTGGCGGACAGGCTGAGCAGATTGTGGGTCACAAGTGGTCCCTGTCCTGGGATGTAGCCCATTCCATCTTCTGCATGTGGGGGGTCTCCCCACCTGGACCTGTTTGCCACGGGGCAGAACAAGAAGTGCCTGCGTTTCTGCTCCCTCAGGAGCAGAGTTCCTCAGGGGATGCTCTCCTTCTCCCCTGGCCATGAGGCCTGTTGTACTCCTTTCCCCCTTTTCTGCTAGTTCACAAGGTCCTCCTGAAAGTGCAGGAGTTCAGGGCATCCCTGATTCTAATCACACCAGCACGGCCCAGGCCACATTGGTTGTCATGTTGTCCGACAGAATGAGGACGGACTTGACCCTCAGGTGGGGAAGGAAAACTCCACAAGCCAATCGGACTGCCCAGAGCTATTACATAACCCAATTCCACTATCTCCATCCATGTGTCGAATGTAACACACTACCAGGCCTGGAGGAAATGGGATAAACGGTCTCGAAAAAGTAGGGAGAAGTTTGGTAAGAAGCCCTCAAGGGTCCCATAAAAACCCGCGGGGGCTTGTCTGGCTTCCCTGCTGCTGCCACTCCTGCTCCTATGGCGGGCGAAGTCGGGGCATGGGCCCTGGGGAGGCATTCTAGGAACATTCCTGTTTGAGTAGGTACGCTTCTGGGTAGGAGGAGTGTGCAGGCCCAAGGACTTTAATGTTGCCCTGGTACCCTTGAGGCCATGAAGCCTCTGGTCGGTCTGCTCCGAAAAGAGCGAGGGGACCTCAAATGGGAGGTCCTGAATGGTGTTTTGGAGCTTCAGTGGCACCCCAGAATCCTGGAGCCATGAGCTATAGCGCAGAACCACCCCAGTGGTCATCACTTGAGCTGCGGTGTCCGCCACGTTGAGAACCACTTGGAAAGCCACTCTGGAGATTACTCTCCCCTCTTTTTGTGAAGAGCCTTGTACTCTGAGCAGGAGTCCCTAGGAAGCAAGTCTGTAAACTTGTCCATGGATGCCCAGGTGTTGTATGAGTACCAGGACAAGAGGACTTTCTGGTTGGCAATGCGATACTGGATACCCCCAGACACGTAGACCTTCCATCCTAGCAGGTCAGACTTTGGCCTCCCTGTTCTTAGGGGTGGCAGCAGGCTGCCCTTCTCTCTCCCTTGGGGGGGGGGGGGGGGGTGAGAGAAGAGGTGCTCATTATCCTCTTGGGGGACAAATTACCTCCTTTTCGCATGCTTATCTGTTGGAGGAATGGAGGCATGGGTTTGCCACAAGGCTTTGGAGATTTTGGCCACTGTTTTGTTGATTGGTAGAGCCATTCTAGAGGGGATGTCGGCATTCAGAATGTCAACAGTAGGATCTGAGTTGTCAGAAACCTCCGCTTGAACCCCCCAAACTTTGGGCCAGGCGGCGGCGAAGGTACTGATGGGCTCAGTGGACTGGACAGATTCCGCCTTGGAGTCGGACGAATACTGTTAGCGAGGTGCTCCCTCCTCCACCTATATTATAAGCAGAGGCATGCGCAGCACATTTCATTAGGATGTGCACCCAAAGAATTTTTTAAAAATTTACTCTTTGACCCCTGTTAGCCATGCCCCTGACTCCCATTAGACACTCCTCTAGAGGCAACACTCTCCGGACAAGATGGACACATGACCAGAAGTAAAAGGTGTCGTGACCCCTCCCCCCCAGGACTTTTCCCACCAACCCCCTCCCATGCAACTACTAATAGGGATTAGTTTGGCCCCCACCAACCCCCTCCCATGCAACTATCCTGTAATTGCATTAACCCAATGTGTGTGATATTAACTCAGGGGCAGAGAGGCTGGGGGAAATGTTCCCTCCCATGAGCAGAATGAATTTTGTGTTGTGCATCAGTACTGAGTTCATGTGGCTTGTTTGGATGTGGCACCCAAGTTATTAAGATATCTTATAAACCTCTACCTTTTCCCTCTGCTACCATGTCTCCTCCCCTTGCTCCATCAGCTCCCCTGGTGCCTGCTGTCCCCCAACCCCTCACCCTCCTCTGCTGTCCTGACTCCTGCCCTTCTCACCGCCCTCAGCCTTCCTGAGACCTGCCCAGAATTTAACAACTAAAACACATCAACAGAAGGTCATTACACTGACTACTTTTTTGTTTCGGCTCCCACTCACCGGCCACATGTTGATCCCCACATAAACCCAAACTGTACCGCAGGGCACAAACAAACTGGCCGTAGGCAGCATACCAAGTTATTAATAAATATTTTATAAACCTTTACCCTTTTCTCTCTGCTGCCATGTCTCCTCTCCTTGCTCCATCATCTCCCCTGATGCCTGCTGCTCCCCAACTCCTCACCCTCCTCTGCTGTCCTGACTCCTGCTCTTCTCCTCCTGCAACCTGCCCCCCTCCACCAGCCCTTCTCTTCCCCCTATGCCCACTCCTCCAGTAGCCCCACTCTGATCATGTGAGCTACCCCTCTTCTAATACCTCCCTTTACACACCTGCCCTGCCTCTCCTCTGGTGCTGGTCCCTCCTCTGCAGGTGTCTGCCCTTCTGCTTCACCCCCAGCATCCCCTGCACCTGCACCTTCCCCTTCCCTTACCCCTGCAGCCTCCTAGTGCCTCCCCCTTCCTCACGGCCCCTGCCTCCTTTACCCTCTGCCCCCGTTCCCTCATGCCCTGCCTGATCTGCCCCCTCCCTTCAGCATAAGCCCCTTCCTCTCCCACCCCTTCCTCCTACTTTTCCCCTTTCCACTTCCCTCCCCTACCTTCTGCCTTCCATTTTGCAGGGCTGGAGTCTGCTGCAATTGGGCCCCAGAGTCCCCGCAGCCCAGGCTCCAGACCATGTGCTGGACCTGGAGCTGGGCCACTCGGCGTTCACAGCCCCGGCCCAGCCGCCCTCCCACCCCTAGCCAGGCTCCGCTCCCCCATGCCCTCATTGCCG